CAGTGATCTCCAGTAGCTTCAGTGAGCACAGGAGGACACTCACTTGGCCAAGGCACCATTTAGAGATCACTTTGCATTTATCAATGAATGCAAAGCATTTTTTTACTGGATAAGGTGGAGAAGTGGGTCGATGATGTCATGATCTCTGATTCATCCAATCAAAGAACAATTTGCATTCATTGGGGAAATGCATAGCAATCTCAGAATGGCACCCATGCTGAGCAGATGACTTCCTGTAAGTAAGTGGCATGGAGGCAGCTCAGCACAGGACCTGAAAGCTAGTGGAGATCATTGTAGTAGCAGTACCTACTATAGTGATTTTCAACTTCCAATGGGATTGGCAAGGTATGGCTAGGGATGTATTTACCACAAGGCAAACAATGCATTTGCCTAGGGCGGCATTTTTCAGGGGGGGGCAGCACTGCCCCTTGGAAGAAGGGACGGCAGAAGGGACACACACGGCATAGGGACCTGGTGGGTTCTGAGAGATGCTGTGGGTTTCATGACTGTGTATGCACAGCCCTACTTTCGTTTCTGGGGATGTCTGGAGCTGTGAAGGCTGAGTGTCTTTCTCTCTCTTGCAATGGGGGATGGTGGCTGGTGTATGGGGGGTCAGTGGTAGTGGAAGGCTCGGGTGGAGGACAGGGGTGTTCTTGGTCAATGTGAGGCTTTTTCTGCTGGGGGGGGCGCCAATTTTTCTGTTGCCTAGGGCAGCACAAAACCTAAATACACCACTGGGTATGGCATATGCATAGTCACATTGTTCCGAGCTGGACCAATGTGACTATGAAAAGTATCCATATGTGGAAGTTAGCTTTAACGATTTTACAAGGTCATTGTGCTCTAGTATTTGTTTTTTTCAGTGTTGATTTCCCTAGTCTTTACCAGGAGCAGCAGGTTGTACTGGAGAGTGTGGGACTTTGAATTCAGAAGGCCTTTGTGAAAGTCACAGAACTGAGTACTCACAGAACTGAGTACAAGACGATGTCCTTATTTTGAGAGGACACAGTGCTTTTTTCTATTTTTGCTATCCCTTCTCCAACCCCATCCAAAACAAAATTAAACGCTGTTGTTTTAAAATGTAATTATATAGACGGATTAATTCAGTAAAAATGACCATCTTGCCGAAACTGCTATACTATTTTCGCACCCTCCCAGTGCGGGTTCCTCCTCATTTCCTTCGGTTGCTTCAGGCAAAGATTATGCATTTCATCTGGGCCAATAAACGCCCCAGAGTTTCCAGAACTACGCTTTTTGTCCATAGACTTCAGGGTGGCCTTGGGGTTCCCAATGTTACTAAATATTATCAGGCGAGCCAGATCGCCCCGCTATCTATGTTGCATGCTTCCTCAGACATACCTCTCTGGGTCCTCCTGGAACTACCTAATTGTGCCCCTATTGCGATATCGACACTTCTATGGCTTCCCCCTGCCCTGCGTCCCACGGCACTGAGTCCGATTTTGCTCCATGGCTTGCAAGTGTGGGACTCGGTACGTTACTCCAGTGGCCTAATGTCACCTTTTTTGCCTTTGCTCCCAATCACTAACAACCCCCTCTTCCCACCAGGTTTAGATCAACCAAGGGCGTTTTCTTGGTGGGTGACCAATGGTTTTTCCCAGGTACGACACTTTTTGACCTCTCGGTCCTTCCCTACCTGGAATTCTCTTCAGGAGTCACGGGATGTCCCTCCGGCGGAGTTTTTTTGTTACCTTCAATTGCGGCATTGGCTGATCTCATTGTGGGCACTTCTGTCTTCCCGTACCAGAAATCTGCCTTTGAACTGCTTTGCCAACAATGGCCGGGCGCATTACTTCCCTTCTTTTCTTTGATATGTCGTTACTTCAGTTCATATGTCGTTCAGAGCGCGACCTGGGAGTGGCCGTGGATCCGGAGGACTGGAATAATGCCTGGTCACTCATAGCTAAATGCTCATTTAATATGACCACGCTGGAGGCAGCCTATAAGGTATTGTTTCGTTGGTACTGGGTTTCGGCTCGGTTTGCCCAGGCTAACCCTGCCTGTAGTGATCAGTGTTTTCGGGGTTGTGGACATCGTGGAGATGTATTGCATATCTGGTGGTCATGCCCGAGACTGTTTCGTTTTTGGTCTCGTGTGTTTGGCCTCCTTTTCACCTTGTTCCATCTCTCCATCCGCTGGGCTCGGTATGCTTTGCTTCATTGCCCCATACCGGGCCTCTTGGCTCATCAGCAGAAGTTGGCTTCCTATCTGTTTTTATCGGCCACTAGAACAATTGCTCAGGCCTGGAAGAGTCCGTTTGTCCCTCTTCAGGGGGTGCGGGATCGTATGACCACTATGATGCTCAATGAACAGATGTCGAGTATCCGCAACGACTCCCAACATAAATTTTCTGAAAATATGGGAGCCGTGGTTGCAATATGCCTTCCCCACACTCTCCCCGGCTAGTCTGGAGATGTAATGGCGATCGGTATTGGCGCTCTTGGACCCCTGCCCCTTGCCCCTCCCTTTTTTTTTTTTTTTTTTCTCTCTTTCTTTTTCTTCCCCTCTTTCTTCTTTTTTCATTCTCTCTCTGTTTTGGTGTGACTGGACTGCTGCATTTAGTTGTTATAGTCAGTTACAGTAATGTTTTGTAACTTATGTGCCATTGATAGCCTCTGCGTGGGCGTACCTTTTGCCCTGCTGGCATTAGAGCACCGTTTTTCCTTTTTTTTTTTTTTGCATTTTTTTTATCTGTGCAATTGATAGCCCCAGCGTGGGCGTGTTTTATTGCCTCTCTTTTATACTGTTTAAAATTAATAAAAACCATTGAAATAGAAAATGTAATTATATTTGATATGTGTTTCAACCAAAGAGTGTGTAAGGAAGCAGAGATCTATCGAAATGTTACACATACCTTAGGCTAGACATATAGTACATGGATTGAATTTGGCCACTTCAGGAGGAACTGGCCAAACTTTGATCCATGTATGGTCTTTTCCATTCTTGAGAACTGGCTTGTTGGTAAATTTTTGCTCGATCAGTGCTGCAGCCAATAGGTTGGCTGAATAAAAAAAACTGAACCAAGTATGGCCAGCTTAAGAACAGTTGATACATTTTCTTCTGACCCAAGGCCACATTTACATAAGCAGAAATTCCAGTTAGTCCACAATGTTTTTATATAATGCAGGTTAATGGTTAATTATGTTTGATGATTATATCTGTTTAAACAAGCCCACACACATATATAGCTTGGCCATACCAGTCAATGTTGCTCCTGTTCAGACTACAAACACGAGTCCAGAAACCATCAGAATGAAGACTGTCTTTTGTCTCCTCTTCCTTGCTCTCTTCGCTGCCAGCGAGGCCAAAGTGTTCACAAAATGTGAGCTGGCCAGCGCCCTGAAAGCTGGTGGTTTGGATGGATACTATGGCTACAGCCTGGCAAACTGTACGTATGGACCAGCTAACACTTCTCTGAACCAACCTCAACCTTTTCTTATGAATAATTTTGGTTTTCCCCCTTTGACTTCAGACTATATATTTACAGCAAATCTGAAATTTGCTCAGACAGAGGCTTCATTATTGCATGCATGTAGTTTAGGAGTGGCTCTATTATTGACAGGCTTGGAGCATCTCTTGCTGCTGAGGTCATTTCTGGACACTAAGGCCTTATGCACATGGTTGCTGTGGCCCATACAGTGTAAATGAGTGCATTGCTTATGTGACTGGAGGTGCTGGAGCTGTGTATGGACACTGGTGTATTTAGGTTTTGTGCTGACCTAGGCAACAGAAAAATTGGTGCCCCCCCACACAAAGAGCCTGACATTGACCTAGAACACCCCGCCTTCCACTACCACTACCCCATATACACCAGACACCATCCCCCATGGCAAGAGAGAAAAAGACACTCACCTTCACAGCTCTGGACATCCCCAGGAACAAGAGTGGGGCTGTGCATACACCGTCATGAAACCCACAGCATCTCTCGGAACCCGCCAGGTCCCCATGCCGTGTGTGTCCTTTCTTCCAAGGGGCAGTGCTGCCTTCCCCCCGAAAAATGCCGCCCTAGGCAAATGCCTTGTTTGCCTTGTGGTAAATACACCCCTGTATGGACATAAAGGTAGGAGAAGGCTTGCAAGTAACAGCTCCAGACAGCTCCAGCTAAAAAACAAGGCACTCATTCTTACTGTACGGACCTTACACTCTAGTTACTTGCCAGCCTTCCCCTACATTTTTTCCATATGGTTTGCCTTCTCTGTTTTCCTGGAAGGCCTAAAATTAAAGAGAACCAGCTACAGAAGAATGTGAATCTGAATATGGAGCCATAAATTATTCTAAGGCCTCATGCACACTGGGCATTTCTGGACGTCCTCCCAGAACTAGATAACTGCGCTGTAGCAGTCTTTTGGCTATAGCGCGGTTGGGAAGAGGTTAAAAAAGGCCTGGATCCTTGGATACACAGAATATAACTGGATACTAACATTCATAGGTAAAGTTGATCCAGGGAATATCTGATTGCCTCTCGGGGGATCAGGGAGGAATTTTTCCCCTGAAAGCAAATTGGATCATGCTTTGCTGGTTTTTTTTTTGCCGTCCTCTGGATCAACTGTGGGTGTAAGGTTATAACTTTTTTTTTTTTATGTAATGGTTGAACTGGATGGACTTTTGTCTTTTTTCAGCCAGACTAACTATGTAACTATGAGTCAGTACAGGAATCACTGCTTGCAGACAGCAAGGTACCATGGGATATGTAGTCCTTAGAAATGGAAATTAAACAGCAGAGATGAAGCTGCAAAGCATGCAGGGAATCCTGGAAGTTGTAAAAAGAGATGAGCAGCAGACAGGCAGTTCTCAAAACATGAAAGGAGATTTTTCAAGTAAGCTTATACTGAATTGTCAAAAATAACTAACATAAATAATATTAGTCAGATTTGTACTGCTTCTGACTACTTGCAGAAAGCTGAAGTTAAAGTTTTGTGTGATTTTCCACTGCTGCGTTGGGCATAACTTAGGCTGTTGCATTTTTCTTTTTCCGTCTAGGGATGTGCATGGCTTACTATGAGAGCCGCTACACTACCAATGCCATGTATGACAATGGCTGGAGCCGTGACTATGGAGTCTTCCAGATCAACAGTTACTGGTGGTGCAATGACGGCAATACGTCTGGAGCCGTAGCCGCCTGTAGCATCAGCTGCAGTAGTGAGTAACTCCTTGAGATATTTTGTGTAACCAGTGTTTATCTGTCCCTTTTCCCAAGGTAAAAAAACTGACATTATACTGTATATATTTTGAGAAAGCACTCCAACTAATATTTAAACCAATGCACCATATGTAAAAGCACATTGCATCTGTTACAAACAAAACAGCTGATTGGTAGAGGATGTGAGTATAGGAATAGCCTAGTCTTACAGGGGTTGCCTAGAGTCTTGCAACCATAGACAGGGATGTGCATACTGTAGCATATAAAGTCCTGCTCCCCTCCTTGCCTGCTTCTCCCATAAAGAGGAACACTAAAATAAATCAGTAAAACCTACATCTTGCTGTAACTTGGTGTTTAGTGCACCCCATGACCAAAAGAGAGAGTCAGCTTCTTTCCTAAACTATTTATATGCTAGCCTATTATCCAGGGTGCCCACAGGGACAGGGCTGGCATAACATTTAAGGGCCACCTGCCCATACTGGCATCCTACCTCTAGTAGCCCCTAAGGCATCTACACTGCCCATCAATCCAAGTGGTCTTGGGCCTCACCCATTTCACCCACTGTGGTGTTATCTAGCAGCCAGAAGGGGGAACTACATGGATACATACCACAGCCCTCCTTACTATTCCTGAGCTATTTTTGTAGAAATTACTCTTGAACCAATTTTATAAAGCATTTTCATATTATTCTTTCAAGATTTGATGAATGATGACATTACTGATGACATCACCTGTGCCAAGAGAGTTGTTCGTGACCCCAATGGCATGGGAGCTTGGTATGTACCTTGTTACTGATGATAATAAGCAATGTCAAAGACTCATGCACCTAATATGTATACAGATTTTCTTTTGATTTTGGTGGGGGTGCAATTAATGGATAGTGTGATTTATATATATATATATATATATATATATATATATATATTTATTTTTGCACGAAAACTAACATTTAGTAAGCAGCTCATGCCTTTTGTATTCTGATGCAATATTCTCTATTCTCCAGTAAACTAGGATTGGCTACATAGGTTTATGAGGTGTGTTGCGTTCTTATCATTCTGTAAGGTGCTATGGACATAATAGCACCTTCCAGACGGCTATGTCTATAAGCCTTCACAGCCCTATAGTTTTAAGGCTGTTTCGTTCTGCACTTCTGGCAGCCACACTGTTTTCAAAGTCTGCCTGATCATGTTTGAAGCTCATTCCCAGTCACTGGTTTAACAGCAAGTCAAATGTAGAAATGGAGTTGATAGCCTGAGCGTCTGTTTATGTACACAGTGTTATCTATGGGAACTGTAGAGGCTATGGCCATGTGGACTCAGTTATCTAAGTTGGGAAAAAAACTGATAGGTCTATAAGAGATAAAAAAAACCTTTTGGATGTACACTTTATATGATTCAGAAGTGACTATACACAATATGTTCAGTTTTGATCTATAAATAATTTGCTTCTACAAAAATTACATAATGCACATGTGAAATGTGAAGCTAAAAATTGGTCAGTCTTCTGTTTATAAAATTGCATTTCAAAGAAATATGTTTTAGAGAAATCAAAATGTAGTACACAGTTTTTATTGTGTCACTATTATAGCTGAAAAATGAATATTCAGAGGAGTACTGTATATCAAATTCTGATTTGTGTACCAGTATCACTTATTAATTATACATTATCTTATTTATTTATCTTTAAAGGGTGGCCTGGAACAACAACTGTAAGAACAAGGATGTAAGTAGCTTCGTGAGCGGATGTGCTTTGTGAGGAGATGATGTAGACCACATTAATGTTCCTTCGCCTTCCACTCCCAGAGCCAAAAAGACATCAGATGGCTCTTGAATGTGTGTGGACAATTACCTGATGGAATAAATTCTGTACGTATCAATTAAAACATTGTCTATTTTCTGTTTGGAATGTATCATAACCTTATCGGTGTAATGTACAGCCCGATAACTAAGTCAGGAACTATGGTGGGCTGGTTTTTCTTCTGCCTGTACCAGCACCCACTCCCTTAAGGCCAGCAGGCCTACTGGTAATTGTTCCCCCCCGGTGTTGACATGATTCTATAGTTCCTGGCTAGATGGTACCAGGACTGAGTGACTGAGACAAGGAAGGGTACCAGTAGTCCCAAGGGAGGTCAGGCAGTAGACAGTGCTTGGTAGCGGAATCCTGGAACAGTTCAAGGTTAGTACAAGTAACAAGCAAGCATAGTTCAAAAACAGTTCTGAGATCAGGGCAGGTTGCAAACAAGCATAATCCAATAGATGTTTCCATGGCCAGGGCTGGTAGTGAGTAAGCATAGTCCAGTAAACAAACCAAGGTCACGTTTACTGTAGGTGGCAATCCAAAGACTAATCTAGGTACAAGACAAAATGTTGCAACAAGGGAATCCAAGATCATTATTACAGATCTGGGTAAGGCATGAAAACAGACAGGAAGCCAGGATCCAGGAAGCTGACCCTATTACAAGCACAGATGCACCGTTGATGATTTTTAAATAAGGCGCTTCCTGTGTTGAGGGCCAATTCAGCTAGGGGCTGTGTAGCCAGACTCCACTTGATGAAGGTGGTTTGCAAAGCATTTCTGGTGTCTGAAATGGAGGACAGACAAGCATGGGTTTTATACCAGATTTGTGAGAATTTCTGAACCATATCAGTGGCATTAGGGGAATCTGAGGAAATGTCAAAAAAGCCATGGGATGAGAACCATAAACACACAAAAAAAGAGATACTCAAAGGAACTGTTAGGGACAGTTATTATATGTAAACGTGGCCCATGGGAAGGCAGAGGACCAATGCTGTTGACAGTTAGAAACAAAACATTGGAGACAAGTCTCTAGGGACAGGTTAGCGCACTCAATCAGCAAATTAGCCTGAGGGTGATACGCAGATGAGAACAGCAAACTGGTGCCAATGAGAAAACAGAATGCTTGCCACAATTTGGATATGAATTGCATTTCTCTGTCCAATACAATGTTCTTGGGCTAGAGCATGAGTATCTCCTGAGCAAATAAAGTAGCCAGTGATTTGGAAGAGACAATCTTAGGCAATGGCAAAAAGTGGGCCATCTTAATAAAGAAATCCATGGTGACCCAAATGACTCTGTGGAAGGTCTACAGTGAAGTCCACTGCCAACTGAGTACAAAGACAGCTTGTTGGGCTTGGACCTAGAGGGTTTTGAGCAAGCATAGGTTACACTGGCTTTCACATAGGCATGCATATCTTTACAGATTGTGATACCAGGATGTTCAGCCAACATGGGAGTTATGAGCCAGAGGTGTAGTAGGACTAATAACTATTCCACACATACACTATATTGCCAAAAGTATTGGGACACCCCTCCAAATTCAGGTGTTCCAATCATCTCCATTGCCACAGGTGTATAAAATCAAGCACCTAGGCATGCAGACTGCTTCTACAAACATTTGTGAAAGAATGAATGGGTCGCTCTCAGGAGCTCAGTGAATTCAATCGTGGTACCGTGATAGGTTGCCACCTGTGCAATAAGTACATACGTGGAATTTTCTTGCTACTAAATATTCCATGGTCAACTGTTAGTGGTATTCTAACAAAGTGGAAGAAACTGGGAACAACAGCAACTCAGCCATGAAGTGACAGAGCGGGGTCAGCACATGCTGAACTGCACAGTGCGCAGAAGTCGGCAACTGTCTGCAGAGTCAATAGCTAAAGACCTCCAAACTTCATGTGGCCTTCAGATTAGCACAACAACTGTGCATAGAGAGCTTTTTGGAATGGGTTTCCATGGCCAAGCAGCTGCATCCAAGTCTTACATCACCAAGTGCAATGCAAATTGCAGTGGTGTAAAGCATGCCACCACTGGACTCTAGAGCAGTGGAGATGTGTTATCTGATGTGACCGATCATGTTTCTCTGTCTGGTAAATCAATGGGCATGTCTGTATTTGGCGGTTGCCAAGAGAACAGTGCTTGCCTGGCTGCATTGTGTTAAGTATAAAGTTTGGTGGAGGGGGGATTATGGTGTGGGGTTGTTTTTCAGGGGTTGGGCTTGGCCCCTTAGTTCCAGTGAAAGGAACTCCTAACGCAAAGACATTTTGGTCAATTTTATGCTCCCAACTTTGTGGGAACAGTTTGGGGATGGACCCTTCCTGTGCTCACCAGTGCACAAAGCAAAGTACATAAAGACATGGATGAGCAAGTTTGGGGTGGAGGAACTTGACTGGCCTGCACAGAGTCCTAACCTCAATCCAATAGAATACTTTTGGGATGAATTAGAGCGGAGATTGTGAGCCAGGCCTTCTTGTTTGACATCAGTGCCTGACCTCACAAATGCGCTTCTGGAAGAATGGTCAAACATTCCCATACACGCTCTTAAACCTAGTGGACAGCCTTCCCAGAAGAGTTGAAGATGTTATAGCTGCAAAGGGTGGGCCAACTCAATACTGAGCCCCACGGACTAATACTGGGATGCTATTAAAGTTCATGTGTGTGTAAAGGCAGGTGTCCCAATACTTTTGGCAATATAGTGTAGGACTAGCAAGAGCAAGGGACTATGCTTTAGATATTGTGGCAAACAGATCACGGGAAAGGATGGCCAAGATCTGAATAGGAAGCAGAATGTTGTGGGGGTGAGAGGACTCCTCATATTAAGGCTCAAAGCTGTGGGACAGAGCATCTGCTTTTGTAATTTTTAGAGTTAGGGCAGTAGGTGATAGATGCTAATATGGAGGAAACCTATAAAAATGTGTGAATCCCAAGGAGCACTGGACTGTTTTCAGATTCAATGGCTGGGTCCATCAGGTGAGTGCCTGTACTTTAACAGGCTCCATGGCCAATCCAAAATCAGAAATTATATACCCTAGGAAGGGAAAGGAACCTAGGAAACTTAGAACATCCACTGGGATATTTTAGCATACGTGGAGTTTTTGGGAGCTCCTGATCAGGACAGCATGAACATGATTATAGTGTTCCTCAAGGAAGGTGGAGTAAATCAGAATATCGTCTAATAATAATGGCATGGCGAGGTACTCGTAATGTCCTTTACAAGCATTAAAGGCCACCTTTCAATAATCATAATCTCAACTGCGCATCAGGTTTTAGGCCTACACAAGTCCAACTTAGAGAACACCCATGCACCCTGAATGTGGCTAAAGAGTTAGGCAAGTTGTGGTGAGTATTTGTTCAGTGTGGTGATCTTGAGGTCAAAATCTATACACAATGTATTTTTCTCTTCTACAAAAAGAGACCTACCCTTGCACGCGAAGTGGACGGGCACAGGCAACTCCTCTCAAGCTTTTCCTTGAGGTAGGATTTCATGGCTAAAAGTCTCTGGTTGTGACAAAGGGAAGACCTATCCTCTGGGAGGAGAGGTTCCTGGTAAGTGGTTAACAGAACAGTCATTAGGGTGAAGGAAAGGAAGTTCCAAAGCAGCCCTTTCACAAAAACACCAGTGAAATTCACATAACAAAACAGGAGTGGAGAAATGGAAAGAAGTGGCCAGGATCCTAGAATGACAATTTTTCAAGCATGAGTGGGACCAAGAGGAGATGTCATCTGTTGATCAGTTGATATGTGGGTTGTGCAGTTTTAATCAGGGGTAGCCTAGAATGAGTGGCTATGTAGGGGGTGCTATCGAGTAGAAGCTGATGGTTTCCATATGTAGTGCTTTAATGGTCACAGTGACAGGGGAAGTACTATAAGTGACCATGACCGAAGACAGAGGGGAATTATCCACAGTGATAAAAGAAAAGGAACTCTGCAGAGTGGCAAGAGGAATCAGAAGATGCTCTGCATAATTACTTTCCATAAAGTTACTGGCAGTACCAAAGTATATGGAGGCCAACAGATGATGAGTCAGGGAATTAAAGGTAAGCTGAGCAGGAACAAATAGTTTATCTTGGTTTGGGCAGGGTACTGGGATGTCTAAGGTAGGCCTGGGTCTCCCTAGACTTTTGGTGTTTCTGGCTTGTTGGGGCACCTAATGGTGAGGTGGCCCTGCCCTCCACAATAGTGACAGAATCCCTGTGCCTTTCTCCCAGCATTTTTTTTCATGGACGACTCTATGTCTGCTATCTGTATAGGTTCTTCTGGGCGCTGAGTAGAGGGTTCTGGCAGGGCCAACAGAAAAGGTGCTGTAAGAAAACTGAGATTGGGAAATTGCCAATTTGTACAGTTAGCTGTGCCTGCACCTGAAACATGTCTCTTCTACATTAAAATTCCTGCCTGCTTGCCATTTTTTACATTTGTACCTGAAGTTACACTTTAAGCCCTTCACGCCTAAAGGTAAAACAAATCCTAATGCTTAAGCACAATTTTGTAACTTTGACATGTGTTAGTAAATCCATACATATCATCACAACTACTTTGTACATCCAGGTGAGTTATAGCTTGTTTTTTTCAGGACAAGTTGAATTGGGCTTTCATTTGGTGGTGGTAATGGATATCTCCTTTTTATTGTCAAAGGAAAAAAATGGTGTATAATAGTAAAAAAAAAATTTTTTTTTTAAATTTAGCTGTATATTTATTTTACTACTATAACCTACCACCAAAGAACAACCCAAAATAAATTATCCAGCTCCTGACGATTATGTGTATGTTATTTGTTGTTTGTATGCATAGTACAGCCCAGAAACAGTGTGCATTTTGCTATTTTTTTTGTCCTACCTAAAACACACTGACACTAACTGACACTGATACTAATTTAAAGAAAATACTGCCCAAAATATACTGACCCTGACCTTTGCCCTGGACCTTTGACCCTTACTTGACCCAAACACTAATCCTGGCAC